AAGATCATTTATGTGTGTGACGAATTTCCACAGATAAATCCTCCGATCGAACAAGTTAAAAGAAACTGTAGAAAGAAAATAGATTTTTCATTCGCAGGAACACTGGTTTGCCGACCGAGCCGCGCGACCGGCCGCCGGTTACACTTAAAAATAAGTTATTACGGACAAATGCTGATCTGGAGGTCACATAATTTTTAGCGGTATAAATTTCTATGCTTTTCGAAGTTTTTACTTACTCTATAAACCCGCGGCAGATTTTGTATAAGTCCAAGCATTTAATCTCGTTCTTATATTCACTCTTCACCAAGAAATTTTCGAAAATTTGTATGCCTTTCGGATGGGACAGAGTTCTTTGTATATTCTCTCTAATTGTATCTAATTCATCGCTGCTCAGACCGGAAGTACACTTCCCGATGCAACCTATGAATTTCTTAGTTAAGTTCTCCATGTTTGAAATGTCGTCTGGAAAAAAATAGCCCATTAGAAGGATCCCGCTGATTTCCCACAACAATGCTCTTACCGGCTTAATAATCGTAAAAGTGGCACGTCAAAACGTCACGAAGATGGGAACATAGATACCATTAAGTCCAATGAAATAGCTGTTTAAAAAAATAAGCGTCATTAAATAAAACTATCCAACCAAACCTAATTACGCAAATCCCTTTAATTTAATTGATTCACTGCAATTCCAAAGTAAAAGTTTATTTTCGTGGAGGATATGTTTGACCGTACATAATAATAGTTTTCATACATACCATAGGTTACGGATGCGTACGTACTGCTATAGAACGCGAACAAGTTCACTATATAACTGCAACAATTATCAGACAATATCTAATAACGGTTTTTATTTTCGTTTACAGATAATGGTATCGTTGAAATTATCGCTGGGAAAGAAGGTTTATTGATATAAACCCTCATTTATCTCAATTCTCAATGGCTTCTTGCACTCTACTTATTTCGTCTCTGGTGACTGAGTCAACTTTCGTTGAACAAAACTTCGACACATATTCTTATACATATAACCATCCAAATGTGGATCAACTGAACGGTTCGTTATTATCAAATGATTTTATTTACCCCACCCGGTACCTGAGGGATACTTTGTATATCGACAAAAATATGATGTAATCGACAAACTAAGTTCTATTTAAATATATCGTCGATCGATTTAAATAGAGTCATAGAAAACCGCCGGCTGTTCCCAACCGTGACGACTTTCGAACATTGCGAACTTTTACAAATCGTGCCGCGTTTTTCTTCCACGGTAACAGGAGTTTTCGAAAATCCCGTGCTTTCGAAATCCTGAAAGACGAAACTCCGCGAAATATCGCGCATGAGAACGTCGGCGCGGCAACCATTTTGTCGTTCGTTCGGCCGTCCGAAGGGAAAAGAAACGCGCTCGACGGTTAGCTCATAATTGTGCAAGATATCATAAATCAATCATAAAGCGAATTCTTTGGGCAATCCACGAGCTTCGATATTTTCTTGCAATAACGCCACTATTACATATTTATGCACGCTTATGATACTCTACTGTTGACACGAATTAATGGACGGTGACGGCGAAATGGATGGCTGTTTGCACGGCCATTGCAAAAAACATTCCTGCCGGTTTTCTGTTTTTGCCGGGTTTTGTACCTCATCGCGATCTCAGAGAGAGAGAGAGAGAGAGAGAGAGAGAGAGAGAGAGACAGAAACGAAAAACTGTTGCCGGTACGTTGTAACAGCATTGTGGAATCTCTTTGGTACCATCTGTCCGCTTATGGTATGCCTCTATGATATTTTATTCATTAAACAGGATCTTGCCGAGCGGTTTTGAAATAATTCGGTTTTAATTGCGGAGACTGCTTAACGTACGATAATTCGTAATATAATGTAATATTTAATGTAACATTTAAAATAATATCTAATATAATATACAATTTCGATCGCATCCATCCGAAAAACGTCGTCGGCTCTCGTTATCGCGATTATCGCGGCCGTTTAGGTATCCAGATCAAAGGTAAACGGTGCGAGTGGGACGAATAAAGCGACCAGACCTTGCTGCAATCGAAAGTTATTTTTATCCTATTTCTATCGTTTATTGGAATCGTTATCTCGCTATCAGTGAGTATCTCGCTTACACGCTGAGATACAGTAGCTCTCGATAATGTTTAAACATTCTTTTATCTTTTTTTATTTTTGCTTTTTAGATAGAAGAACATTTCTAGGCTTGTACCGAACTAATTGAATTTTTCTGACAACACTGTAAGAGTTAATTTTCTGGATAACGAATCAAGGACATCTTAGAAAATCGCTGGTGGTCGTTTTTATCAGGCATTTTTATTTTTTTTTTATTTTTATTATGCCGCGCCATTTATGCGGACAAAAATTTTTGTGGACAGTAATTTTTAGTAGCTCGTTTTAGCAGCTCGTTCAATTCTCATTGGCAATCTGAAACGAATGTGTACAGTGGCCCCAAAAGTGTTCGTACACCTTTTAAAACGTAACAATTTTTTGAAAACCGAATTAAATAACTTCAATCTCTTTTTTTAGATGACGAAGATCATCTAAAGTATACTAGACGATAGCTAAAAAGCTATTTTATTTTTATTTTGCTATTGGAATGAAAAGAAAAAAATTAAAATGTCACGTTTCATAACTTTCTATTCCATAGCGAAAATTTTAAAAATACCTTTCGTAGATCTCGGTAACTTATATGAATGCTGAAAATTTGATCGAAATCGGTTAACCCAGAGTCGGGCTACAGGCGTTGATGAAAATATTTATATTTCTAATATAGGAATATACTAATTCGCGCACCCCAATTTTGCTCACAAAAATGAACAATTTGACAAGAGGATTATTCAAACCTCGCGGCTCGTTTTTACACTCGCCGATTGTCCCAACAACTATAAAAACGAGCCGCTAGGCTCGAATAATCGTCCATTATCGTCCAAATTGTCCATTTTTGTGTGCAATCTTAGCGCGAATCGGGGNACTGTAAGAGTTAATTTTCTGGATAACGAATCAAGGACATCTTAGAAAATCGCTGGTGGTCGTTTTTATCAGGCATTTTTATTTTTTTTTTATTTTTATTATGCCGCGCCATTTATGCGGACAAAAATTTTTGTGGACAGTAATTTTTAGTAGCTCGTTTTAGCAGCTCGTTCAATTCTCATTGGCAATCTGAAACGAATGTGTACAGTGGCCCCAAAAGTGTTCGTACACCTTTTAAAACGTAACAATTTTTTGAAAACCGAATTAAATAACTTCAATCTCTTTTTTTAGATGACGAAGATCATCTAAAGTATACTAGACGATAGCTAAAAAGCTATTTTATTTTTATTTTGCTATTGGAATGAAAAGAAAAAAATTAAAATGTCACGTTTCATAACTTTCTATTCCATAGCGAAAATTTTAAAAATACCTTTCGTAGATCTCGGTAACTTATATGAATGCTGAAAATTTGATCGAAATCGGTTAACCCAGAGTCGGGCTACAGGCGTTGATGAAAATATTTATATTTCTAATATAGGAATATACTAATTCGCGCACCCCAATTTTGCTCACAAAAATGAACAATTTGACAAGAGGATTATTCAAACCTCGCGGCTCGTTTTTACACTCGCCGATTGTCCCAACAACTATAAAAACGAGCCGCTAGGCTCGAATAATCGTCCATTATCGTCCAAATTGTCCATTTTTGTGTGCAATCTTAGCGCGAATCGGGGAGAAATTACTATAGTTACACGGTCGACGCTTTGGCCACCTCTGCTCTATTGTATAGTATTACAGAACTGACATTAAAAATGCGTCATTATTTTAGCACTACCTTCTCATTTAAATGATTTCTGCATCAGTTTTTGATTGCTACTATATCGCGTCTATATTTGCGCTGAGTAAAAGTACATATACAGTAATGTCTCCCTAACTAACGCTCAGATTGCACACAAAAATGGACAATTTGGAAAGAGGAGATACGATTATTCGAGCCTTGTAGCTCGTTTTTTATAGTTGTTGACATCTCGGAACTATGACTGACAGGAATCGCAACACATACTGAACATATTCTACGGTTATGATATGCGATACAAATAACTGGAGTGCGGAAAATCAACTGGAAGATTAGTTGGTAGGAAATTGGAGATTACCGTGAATGAGTTGACTTCAGGTACTAGGGTATTCGAAGAGGCAAAGTTCGTAAAATCAATGCAGTCAGCAGAGTTCAGAGTTCAATTACCGTATTTATTTAAGTACAAATGTAGTTTAACCCTTTCCGTACGAGCGCCAGATATATCCGGCTCCCATCTGATGACCGGTATGGACGAGTGCCGAATACATACGTCTGGCATTCATGCGAGTCATATTTCTGACATGTTAGAAATTATTCTAATAACCGTCTGAGTCCCATGCAGTGCGATCGCGCTGTTCAGATCTTGTGTCTACGATTAAACTTTAGCGACGCGCGTACATCGCATAGCTACTTTGTTTCATTCTTTTTTCTTTTTGCTTTGTTTGTCGATCTTGACGAGCGCTATCGTGTCGCTTGAGTCTCTTCGCAATCATTTAAGACAAGCCGCTATTACGCTGTATTCAGCATTTTTCGACCGTATTATTTTCTGATAATCCCATATTTTCTGAATAATCCCTAGGACTGAAACGGATAAAGTCTTTTCTTCCAAGGATTCCGAAAAAAACAGCTACATCTATAATCGTCTTTTGATCTGAATTGATTTAAAAAATTTCAAGTTACATCTTTGTTCGAAACTTGTTCATAGATTTTAAACATATTGTAGGCCCTTTACAGAATGTTTACAGGAAACAAAAGATTTAGAAACGGATGAAAAGCACAGTTATTACTTAACGCTTATGAAAATTTTCGTACAAAAGTGGACTGACCCTGTGCTAATGGTAGTGTCACGGCGGACAGCGCGCTCGTAGCGAAAGAGTTATATAAATATGTATACAGGAGCCGATGATATAGTAGAGATCAGCATCACTGATGGTTTATAGTTTTCCTCAATAAAATACAACTGTGAGACCATGGGTCGGTCAATGCGCGAAGGAATGCTAGTTACAAATATTCACTCGTTGATCATTTTGTGAGTGGATGCGGCTCTGACACGTATTTCGTGTACTCCTTATGGATTTCCTTCAAAAGATTTCGACACCGATCTATGATGTCCTTTAGAACAGCTAACAATGCAGAGCTCGACTTACTATTTATAGCTTCAATGAGACTCTCCAGAAGAGCCCTATCTATTTCAGTAACACCTTCCAATTCTTCCGCCTTTTTTAACATTGCCTGGACTTTGTCTATTAAGTCTTCCAGCAGCGGTTCCTCCCACAATTCACTAAAAATAAAAATTCGTACGAGTGCGATCATTTATGTGTGTGACGAATTTCCACAGATAAATCATCCGATTGAACTAGTTAAAAGAAACTGTAGAAAGAAAATAGAGATTTCTCATTCGCAGGAAAACTGGTTTACCGACCGTGCCGCGCGACCGGCCGCCGGTTACATTTAAAAATAAGTTATCACGGACAAATGCTGATCTGGAGGTCACATAATTTTTAGCGGTATAAATTTCTATGCTTTTCGAAGTTTTTACTTACTCTATAAACACGCAGCCGATTTTGTATAAGTTCAAGCATCTAATGTCGTTCATTAAATCAAGTAGTCCTCTTATCTCCAAGTAGTTTCTGAAATGTTGTATGCCAACCGGATTGGACAGAGCTGCTTCTATACCATCTATGATACTCTTCCCGATGCAAGCTATAGTTGAGTTCTCCATGTTTCATATATCGTCTGGAAAAAAATAGCCCATTAGAAGGATCCCGCTGACTTCCCACGACAATGCTCTTACCGGCTTAATAATCGTAAAAGTAGCACGTCAAAACGTCACGAAGATGGGAACATAGATAGCATTAAGTCCAATGAAATAGCTGTTTAAAAAAATAAGCGTCATTAAATAAAACTATCCAACCAAACCTAATTACGCAAATCCCTTTAATTTAATTGATTCACTGCAATTCCAAAGTAAAAGTTTATTTTCGTGGAGGATATGTTTGACCGTACATAATAATAGTTTTCATACATACCATAGGTTACGGATGCGTACGTACTGCTATAGAACGCGAACAATTTCACTATATAACTGCAACAATTATCAGACAATATCTAATAACGGTTTTTATTTTTGTTTACAGACAATGGCATCGTTGAAATTATCGCTGGGAAAAAAGGTTTATTGATATAAACCCTCATTCATCTCAATTCACAATGGCTTCTTGCACTCTACATATCTCGTCTCTGGTGACTGAGTCAACTTTCGTCAAACAAAACTTTGACACATATTCTTGTACATATAACCATCCAAATGTAGATCAACTGTACGGTTCGTTATTATCAAATGATTTTATTTACCCCACCCGGTACCTGAGGGATACTTTGTATATCGACAAAAATATGATGTAATCGACAAACTAAGTTCTATTTAAATATATCGTCGATCGATTTAAATAGAGTCATAGAAAACCGCCGGCTGTTCCCAACCGTGACGACTTTCGAGAATAAAATTCTCTGCTCGTTACGCGTCCGAAATAAAAACGTTGCAAACAAAAGAACATTGCGAACTTTTACAAATCGTGCCGCGTTTTTCTTCCACGGTAACAGGAGTTTTCGAAAATCCCGTGCTTTCGAAATCCTGAAAGGCGAAACTCCGCGAAATATCGCGCATGAGAACGTCGGCGCGGCAACCATTTTGTCGTTCGTTCGGCCGCTCGAAGGGAAAAGAAACGCGCTCGTCGGTTAGCCCATAATTGTGCAAGATACCATAAATCAATCATAAAGCGAATTCTTTGGCCAATCCACGAGCTTCGATATTTTCTTGCAATAA